CTGTAGGGATTCAGGGAATCACCGGAGGGGCTTCCCCATGACAGGATGAAACCTTGGCTTGAGAGCCTCCGGGAACACTTCCCTCTGCTCCAGGCTGAGCAATGCAGATGGAGGCTCCTCTTGCTCCAGGTTTATGGAGCCATTACTGCTGTGATTAAGCACCAGTTCCTTTGGCTGCTGAGATAAGGAAGAGAGACTGAAGTGCCCAATTAAGTACCGAGATATGGCCTGGCTTCCGGCTGTGCCAGCCCTAGATCTGACCTGACCTGTGTCAATGTTAAGGATCCTCTAAAAGCAATATAATAAAGTGAAAAATTACTGGGTTGTATTAGTTGAGATTTACTAAACATTTCTAGCAGAATGCAGCTTGGCTTTCCTTCAGATGGAGTCCTACATGTAAGGTTTGTTCCCTCCAGCCTTTTTCTCACACTGATGGCAGTATGTTGGGCTGAATTTATTCCTGAATCCAAGCAGCTCCTGGTTCCCTTCAGTCTGACAGCTCGTGCACAACCCTGGCAGGAGACAGCCAACTCTAGTATCTCACTGTTATTTCTGCCAAGTGCAGGATCACCGGGGAGGAACAATGCTCACAGCCATGCTCATGGTCATTAAACCACCCTTTACTCACTCAGTTCCAGTTTGGGGTGTTATTTCCAGGCTGACTTGTCATCCAGACCAGAAGAGTTTCCAGCTCACTTTGGCTTGTGTTTCCACAACTTAGAATTCAAACACTCCCACGGAAGATGCAGAAAGCCACGGATCCTCTGGGAGCATGGAACAAAATACAGGATTCACAACTTTTTACAGGTGCTGTGGAAAATGACACCGCCACTGGCTATCCCTTGGGAGGATACAGGGATATCTGCATGGCATCCTTTGGGAAGGGCTGTCTATCCTCAGCCACAGGAGCACAGAGCACGGAGTGATTCAGCTTCACGCGTAGCCGCAGAGCTGTGTCCCATCGCTCAGCAAGGGTGGCACGACACAGCACATCCTCTGATGCGAGCTTCCGGCAGCGCACACCAACCACCATGGGCCACAAAGGGATTTTTAGTCATACACTACCATACCTTATCCTGGACCAATGCATTAGCTACGTGTAAGCGTGACTCAACCTGGGTTTTGATGGGTTGCTGTTTACACATACACAGAGGGCAGTGCGAGCCTGTTGTTCCGCTCCAGTGTGGGTGGGATGAAGGACACGCTCCCATTTCCAGATCCTGCCAGGCTGGTGGTTTGAAAACAGCATTTTCCATTCTTTCAAGTGACCCCACTTGTGTTGTCCAAAGGTGACGAAGCAGTGTTTGCAGTCACTCTGCCAGCACAGCCTTGGGAACAGGAACTCTCAGCCACAGGTCACCAGCGCAGTCACATCCCCGAACAGCAGCAGCTATTTGTGCAATGGATGAGTGCCAGGAGGCAGTGAGATGCTAACACAGCACGGACAATGGCAACGCTGCCCCACGCTTTCCTGCACATGGCAGAGTACGTGGGGACAGTCGAGGGGGACCATCTCCCCCAGACCGCAGGAAGGAGCCTGTTCGTGAAGGGACAACATGCACACACACACACACGTGCACTCCAGAAGCCCTGGGAGCAGGAGGAGCCCTGTGCTGAGCTCCAGGCACGAGATCCAAGCTGAGAAACAAAGAACAAGCCCACTTCCACAGGCCCCTCTGCAGAGGCAAAGCAGAGCCCACTGTGGTCCATGGGATGTGGCTCAGGTGGCTCTGGGGGCGCTAGGAGGCAGAAGCTCCCCTGGGTGCACGCAGCGGAGTCCTGGCGCAGCAGGATGGTTGCCTTTCCCAGTCAGATGTTTTGTTAAGAGCTACAAGGACTTACTGGGTTTGTTTTCCAGTTTTTCAATGCAGGAAGGGATTATCTGCTCACTCATCCGTTTCCCAGCCCAGGAGGTGGGCTGCGAAGGGAAGTTGGTGGCTGCAGCACGAGGAGAGGTGCAAAACGCTTTAGCTCAATTTTCTACCCATTTCTGTGTCCTTTGGGTAATCTGAATTTTCTTCTTCCCTTTCCTTCCCAGCCAAACAAGAGGAAAAGAGGAAAGCCTCCCTGGAAAACCCTGTAGAAGACTAAAGCCACATTCAAGAAGACACCACCACCGCCCCCAAGCCTCTACAGCTGGGTGAACATTCTCTGCAGGCAGCAGAGGATCAGGTGCTGCTCCCAGCACATGAGCTAGGCTGAGGAGCTGCAGACCAGACTGGTGGATGCACTTGCTGCCCACCTTTCTCCTCTCCTGGAGGCGACAATCCCAGCCCAGGCCATAACACAACCAGCAGACTGTTGACATTCAGTACTGTCTCATAGCAAGAGCAGCAGAAACTGCCAGCATGGTTGGGCTGGCACTCAGTTTAGCTATCCCAGTTTGATCCACTTCTCTCCAGGGTTAACCAGGTGTTCCCATTGCTAAGCACAAATCCAGCCCATACAAGACCTGCAGGAGCAGTTCCCCACGGTGGGGCTGAGCCTAACGGTGCCACAGGGCTGGAGCTCAGCCACACCATGACCACTCGCTCCAGTTACCCTGAGAGGCGAGCTCCACCGAGCCAGGTCAGCTGCAATTACCAGGTGTGTGTGAACAAACCGGTTTCAGAGCTTCCCCCAGACACACCCCGAGAGCAGGCAGCAGAAAGCTGGGTGCAGAAGTGGAACAAGAGATTGTCCTGTGTGCCCAGCAGCCATCGCTCCTGGGGTGCGAGGAAGGGGCCTCAGTGTCTGTGGAGGGGATGTCATGGCTGGGACCGTGCTGAGCACACCCCGAGTCATCCTTCACCAGCTGCTTCAATGGGGGAAGTTCCAGGCTCTATTAAGTTTAAATAATGATGTATTTTTTTGTATCCTCTCCTCTGCTGGTCCCTTCCGCTCCCAGCAGCCACTGGCCAAATCCAAGCGGGTAAAGAAGGGGAAGAAACTGGTTTTCTGCTTTCAGAAATGGGTAACTTCAACGACGCCGTTTGCACAAAGGACTTGAAACATCAAAAGTCTGTTGTCTTTCCAGTCACAGCTTTTAGAGCATTTCATCTCTTTAGTCAAACACCACAAAGGGAATAACACACTCATGTCATAAACATCACAAACTGAGGAATATAGATCTTTGGAGAGAAACGCATTCGTCGGTGTCATTACACTACACTACAGTCAACTGCACCACTACAACAGTCCATAATGGTCATTCAAACACACATCTTCCTACAGAAGTTATGCAACTGTACAAGCTACCTTGCTACTTTGCACCCCTACTTCTACAAGTGGTCAATGAGGATAGATATACAATAGTTGTACAGAGAAATCACTCAAGTGGATACAGAAACGGGCCCTTTCGGAGTTAAAGGTTTTCAATAGTTCCACAATGCTACATTCATGCTACCAAGTTCACTAGATTGGGGGTTTAGTTTAGCAAGGAGAAAGAACATTTTGCCCCCAGTTAGGAGCATGACCAAAGGGGCAGAAAGGGAGAGGGGTTTGTGTCAGCATTTTAACCTGCTGCTGCTGTTGCCTTCTCCACATCACACACGACTTCCTGCTGTCATCGCACCTCCAGCTCCCACCTCTCCCAGCACAGCTGGTGGAAGCTGCCATCCTACAGAACAGAACTGGCCTCAGTTGTGTTTTCTTTCTTATACCTGGCATTTCCCTCCAAAAGCTACAGACTGGGGCCCATTATCCCCTTCACTACACGTCTGGACAACATGAAGAGGGCAAGGGTCCAGCCAGGGATGAGCCGTGGCTACCAAACCACCCCAAAGAGGTCCCCCCTAGGGTACAACAATAGCCTGCACCTATTTGTTTCAATGTGTTGCTTTCAATGACTTTAAACCATCTCTCTTCAGCTGTTCCTCTCCTTACTGTATGTACATTATTTCTCCAAAAGTTCTGCTATAAAACTGCTGTAGTGTAAAGGGTTGAGCAGTTCCAGCCGGACGCCTGCTCCCCACACTCACACCCACAGCAAGGGGGAAGGAGTACTCTACAGGTCAGAACAGCTAGTTCTCTTTGTTAAGTATTTAGATTTGTACATATATTGTCCTCCACAACTAATTTTAGAGAGCAGGAGATCAGGATATCAAGGTAACCCTTCCCAGTTACTGCTCCAGTGTGTATGACTTAGAAAAGCAGTAATGTATCACCTCGCAGAACTGCCAGAGAGACCTACACAGGCTCTGAGCAGTATTTACCCTCTGAACGGGAGAGTACAAGATCAACAAACCCTTCCCAAACCAAAAAGCAACCCCCTGACTGAAACAAAGAGTCAATATAGTCTCAAATATACCCTCACATGCCAAGCAGGAGCCTGAGTTCCCAAACCCAGCTGCTCGACACAGCTCTGGGCTTCCTCTGTCCTACACCGGATGGGATGTGAGCAGCTCAGACCATTCAACAGGTCTGTTTAGAAGGGGGAAAAAGGTGGTTGATGCACAAACAAGTGGCAATCAAGTGAACAGAGGGAAGGTCCAAACTCGTGCTACAAACCCAGGCTGTGCTCCTCCACAGGCATCTCTTCAGTCTCCGTGGAGGGTCTCTGGTGGTCGCGGAACTGCGCCGCTCCACACCGCGGGCTAGGAGGAGAACTCGTCTCAACACACAGCAAAACACCAGCATGAACAAGTTAATTACCATGGCTATTAATTTCTAATTCAGTTTGATACCATAGTGAACCCAACCGAGGCTTCTCAGCCAGGTTCTGTGTTTCTAACCTAAAGTATTTCAGCAAAACTCAAGTCCCGTAGTTTTGCAAGCAGCAAAATAGAAAGTAACAAACTTGTGTCTACTTGGAGGAGAACTATACATTCGTGAGAGCACACACAATGAGTGCAACACAGCTACTCTGAAAGTAAGGAACCAAACCGGCTTAATCAATGCAGCAGACATGCAGGGTCTGCTAAGTTACCTTAAATCCATGTTTGCTGGTGATTAAATATGTCTACAGAAGATATATTACCATTCTGAATATATTTTCAAGCAGACCAAAAAAATACCTCATCTATTGGTTACTGGTGTGTTATTTTTAACTAATTAAATATTGGGAGGGATTCTACCCCCCCTTGCTATAAAAATTGCACTTCTTAATTTCTATTAAACAAAACCAAAAAGAGATAGGTTTCAATTCTATCTTCCAGTATATATTCACATGGAAACTGGATCGTCTTGCTCTAAGCTTGCAGGAGTAGGTGTAGCAGTCCTTGCTCTCCAACATCCCCTGCACAGAAGGTGCCATCAGTACAAACCCTCCTTCCTCTGTGCTCTGGTCACTTCTTCAGTGTAGTGCATGGGTAAGTGATTTGATTTTAATTTTTTGTAAGAAAACCTGAGCTTCAAAAGTCTTTAAAAGGACCTGGAATCAAATCTGGCCCATTCTGACCCAAAACAGCTCAGTTCTGCTAGGAACTCCATCCTGTCCTCGTTGCACACAGCTCCTCCTGAGACACCATGGCTCTGACCTGAGGCGAGTGAGGTGTCAAACCCTTTCCCTCCAGTCTCTCTTGACCCAGGAGACTTTCCTCCCAACACACTTCCGAGGGCTCCTTCTTCCCTCCCTTTAGCACTGCTGCCTCCCATAGGGCTTTGAAGGGCTCCCCGTGCCAATAAAAAAGTCTCTCTGCAATCAGCACGACTTCCTGGACACCAGTGATCAACTTCCTCTTGCAAAGTCTTCTCCAGCTCATAAAATGTCATCGTAATCCAATAGTTTAGAGTGCTGGCGGGTCTTCCAGAGGCGGTAAAGGCGGAAGTCAAAGTAAGTCTCAATCATTTGCTTACCTAGGAGTGAAATGAAGCGGAGGGGTTACACCCTGCAGCAGCAAAACCACCCTAGCCACCTATAGGCAGGGGCACAGGAGAACCCATCCACATGCTTCATTGGTGAGTACACCGAGCACCTGCCCAAAGCATGGGAAGGTGCCCATGAGCAGCAAACATCATTGTAGAACTCAAACCATGAAAGGCTCCTTAAATCCCCTGGCAGGGTTTGTCTGAGCTGGGAACTGAGCACAGAATCTGCCTCCAGACTTTGACCTCTCCGCACTAACTGCAGAAGGAGCCTGTGGAAGGGGGCTGTGGACTATCACAGAATTACAGATTGGTTTGGGATGGAAAGGACTTTAAGATCATCTAGTTCCAACCCCCTGCCACCAGACCACAGCTCCAACAGCATGCGTGAGGCTACCCAGCCCAGGGACTTCAGGACATCACAAAGCCAGAATTAACTCCTTGTAAAGATTTGTGGGAAACTTTAAAAACAAGTAACTTGAAAATTCAAACTAAAAATGGGTGCTTTGGTTTATAAATGAACACTTACAGCTGCCCCTGTCCTGCAAAGCTGTGCCTTCTCACAGCAAGGAGCTCAACGGAACACACTAATGCAAGCTGTGTGCACTGGCACCTCTGACGGAAGGTGGAGGTCTCACAGGCCATTACAGACCCAAGACCATGCACAGGAGGCAGTGAGTGCCTTTGACAACCCAAGGGCAAACAGCCTCTGAGACAGGGCTTAAGGATGGGATTTTCGCTTCTGAGGCCTGATTAAGATTAATTTCAGATGACTTTGCAAAGGATTACAGCCGGTGCTGTATTAGCACGTCCCAGATTGATCAAGGGCATAAATTCAGGCATATTCTCCAGCCCAGCCTCTTCAAAGATTAACTGCTTAAATGTATGCACACAGAACCTACTGCCTCGCCTGCCAAGCTGCACAGAAACCCAGGAACTGCCCCGCAAGTTGCTTCTGGGCACACATAAAATCCTTGAATACACTGCCAGGGATGGGGCAGCCACAGCTTCTCTGGGCACCCTGTGCCAGCGCCTCAGCACCCTCCCAGGGAAGAGCTTCTGCCTAAGAGCTCAGCTCAGTCTCCCCTCTGGCAGGTTAAAGCCATTCCCCTTGGCCTGTCCCTACAGGCCCTTGTCCCAAGCCCCTCTCCAGGTTTTCCGGAGCCCCTTCAGGCACTGGAGCTGCTCTAAGGTCTCCCCTTAAGGAGCCTTCTCTTCTCCAGGCTGAACAAGCCCAGCCGTCTCAGCCTCTCTTCATAAGAGAGGTGCTCCAGCATGTTTGCTATGGGATCTATGCAAACACTCTGTAAAGTGGGGTCCAAATCTCGACAGGACACAGACAGCTTTGTGCAGCATGAATGTGCGCAGCTCCTCTATGGTCCTGTGACAGTGAGTGGAGTCAGGAATAACCCATCAAGTGCTGATGCGAGTGTGAGCAGCAGAGGAAGTCTCCACAGTGCTTACAGCCTAATGCTGCATGTTCTTATCTTCTTAGAGGTCAATGTACTAAGGATTACAGCTAAGGTAAAATAAGGGCAAACAGAATGTCGCTTCAGAAACTGCACCCATAATTACATTGACCAAAGAACAGGAAGGATTCTTTAGCCCTTGAAATATCCTGAACTACAGGCAAAAAACATTAAAAAAAGCAAGGCAAAGCAGACTGAGATGCAGAATGGCTCCAGCCCAGTGCTTGCTGATGACACAACTCACTCAGTACCAGTGGTTTGAGCCCTGCAGAAGAGAATCCTGCACACTTGGTTACAGAAAAGCTTCTGCTCCCACTTGCATTTCTGCCATGGTCTTCACATGCCCCAGTACATGACAGATCTCCTAAACTGAGCCTGGAAAGCTGACTACTCTTTAGGCTGCTTTGCCACTGCCCGTGGCCTGAGAGAGGGTTGTGCAGCCAACAAAACAGATGAAATGTGATCATGGAGCAATTGCAAGGGGAAAACCAGGTTCAGCCACTGAACTGCACAAGGAACAAGCAAAAGCAAGACTATGGCAGGGCTGAAGGGAGCTCAGAATGGCTTTTTGAAGCAGAGGCCCTCTGAATGGGACAGCCTGATGAGGATGGTGTGTGTCTTTGTACAGAAAATAAGTTACCTTGAGCTGATAGTTCAAGTGGAGACTCGAAGGCAACCCTATAAGGATTCATTAAGTTTTTCAGATTCTGAAATAGCTGAAAGGAAAAGATACTGGGGGTTAGCAGCTGAAAACAAAAATGAACTCCAGGACACCCAGAACTGCCCATCATTGTTCCCTACCTCAAGAAAACCTCCCATCCCTGTTCTTTAAAACATCTAGCTCACCAGTAAATAAAGTGCTTTGAACTACTGTTCTCCTCAAAGGCTTCAGTATTTGTCACTTATTCCTCCCCTGCCCTCTGGGGAAGGCACAATCCATAGGGCACTTCACCCATTCACAGCCTCTCATAGGACAGGATGGCAGCATGTTCCCACACAGCAGAAGAGGAAGGTTTAGACTTCACAGTGTAGCTGTTTGGCTTGGTGCTACTCACCAGACACTCCCAGGAAGCTCTTACCTTCTCCCCATTGGGGTTTCCAAGAACATAGCAGCCCATGATGTGAATGATATTTGGTTCAGGATTGACTTTACTCATCAGCCGGCTCAACCTCTTCCAGAAGCTGGAAGAAACAGGAAAAAACAGAATATATAATTTAAAGCAAAGCAACCCCCCCCATCTCCTCATGAGTAATCAATCACAACGACATGCACACACAGCTCGGGAGGGACCTGAGGCTTGTGGCCTGAGGAACAGCCTGCTCAGGAAGAGCCGTGGTTTCTTAGACAAGGAAACACAGGGGCCAAGCAAGGGTCCAAGGAGCAGGTCCCAGTCATGTGGTAGGGAAGAAGGAGCAGCCCATTGAGCCAAGGAAGCTCCAGGGTGAAGAGAAGGGAGCCAAGTCCACCAGGAGTGCTTTCAGACTGCCATTCATTGAGCATTCTCCTCTTGTAGTAGTTCCCTCCATTTTTCTCTCACATTTCTATCAATTACCCTTTCTAAGGATGAGTGGTATCAGTGCACTGGTTCATTTGCAGGGCACAAAATCAACAGAGAACAGCTGGAGAGGTTGTTCTCCAACATTGCTAGAGACACCAGCAAACCACCCAGTGCTTGGTGCTGCTCACCAGTCAGACCCAGTTTACCTTTTGGGACTACTGACCACACACACTGTGCCTAGGGGACAGAACAACCACCTCCCATGGGCAGGGGATCAGGGCAGGCTTCTGGTGGGCCCTGAAGCTCTCTGTGATCAGATTGCTTTCCTCAGGACTGCCTCCCAGGGACATAGAGGTTAGGTGGAGATAGTCACATCCAAGTTTTCAGCTGTGACCAGCTCTGGACCAGCCATGCCTGGCCTGTGTTCAGAAGCGTGTACACAAACACATGCTGAAGAATTTTATTGTCAGTGCTTGTGCCAGAGCATGAGAGCACTGAACAGATGTAGATTTTAATAGCCAGTTCTCACGCCAACAAGTTGTGCAGAACAGGTTGGTGTACATCCTCTCCCCCACAACGAGGTGAGTTTGAGCCAGCACAAACGAGCAGGCAGCAAAACAGACAAAGCTTAACTCTCTGCAAGGAGAAGCAAAACTGCCTCAGCAGCCCTGGCTGACAGGGTGGTGGTAGTGAAAATCCTCCTCAGGAACGTGCTGGACTTTGAGCAGGCTTTGCAGAGGCAAATTCCATCTCCTCTGCAATCAGGAGGGAGTTACCAGAGGCAGCTGTGGGGGGGGGACCGGTTGGATTTCTGCTTAGAAATGCTGTCTCAGCCACTTCTGAGCAACAGAGGCACAAGGCATGTGTCCTGGGGTCCTGGTCAGCAAAGCCTGCGTTGAGAGGAAATTTCCACACCCCTTTTGGCAGTCTCTGTTCCACAGATAAAAGCATCAATCTCCTGGTGACCTGTCCTGGGGCTGCACCACTCCAGGGCCAGGCTCAGCCCTCTCGTCCTTGCAGCCCCCCCAGAGGAGCTTTAAGCTGCTATTAGGTCACCCCTCAGCCTCATCTTCCGCTGACCAACCCCTCCCCTCTCCTGCTCAGGCATGTGCTACAAACAGAGCAAACCAAGCAGCAGAACGCTGTGTGAGCCCAGAAGGTGATGCAGCCACTCACAGGATCATATCTTCCTCCTTCTCCACTTTGGCAAATGTGGCAACTTTGTTCTTTAACAAGTATAAGTGACCAGGGCCTCCCTGCAAGAGACAGACAGACAGATATGAACCACTGGGCACAGGCCATGAAGAAACAAAGCCTGGATGTTTCTCGTCCTACACAGCCCTCTGTGCCACAGGGGAGCAGAGCCAGGCTGGCACGGCTGCTGTGTCTTCCATAGCAGGCACTGCAGGGCTTGCTCGGGAAAGAGTCACACATGGGAGAGTGCTGGGGGTTGGATTCTCTGGCTTTTACTGTTCTATGCCCACCTTATTCTAAAAAGGCACAATAATAGACAAAAATGTTCATTGTGGGTGGCTGGAGAGAATAGGGAAGACAAGAAAGCCCCTTTTGCTTGGGGATTCTAGGGGACTCGCCTTGGTGGGCAGAGAGAGGCTGAGCCAAGCAGGGATTAGCAGGAGAGATGTCACTGAGGAAGAGCTGGACTTTGGCTGTAGCAGGCACGAAAAGCTTGAGTACAACAGCAGGAAAAGTCACCATCTCCAGGTCAGTGTGCTGCAGACCCTGCTATTCCACAGCACCGGGCACGTGGAAATGGGTTCAAGTCAGGCCAGCTCTTAACTTCTCATTTCAAGGTTTCTCGCCCAGCCGCTGGGGAAGTGGGAAGCTGAACACCCTGAGGAACAAGAAACGTGGGAAGGAAATCCCCAGACCCAGCAGGAATCTCTGCACCCAGCTCGGCAAGCCTGGACCCTGACAGCACAGGCCCGGCTCCAGCGCCGAGCTGTGCCATCTGCCGGTCTGCTCCGGGACACACACCCTGCCACGGCCACACTGAGCGTAGGGAAACGACCCTCATCGCATCGGAAATGCTTGTTCTGTCTCTGGAGCACTCATTTCGAGGTCTGTGTAAAGCTGGTTTCCATGGGTTTCCTTGAAAGCAGCCGAGGAGCAGCCCAGCTCTGGACTTAACCACACTAAATCAGACTTTATTTCCTGCTGTTACAGCAACTCCCCACTTCTCAGTGTCTGGGGAAAGGAGAAGTGCAAGCTGCCCATGTGCAGTTACTGTAACAGAACCTGGACCACTGGTTCCTCTTTGTAATTTTCCCTGTAGAAAGTCACAGAATCCCAGCCTGGTTTGGGTTGGAAGGGACCTTAAAGCTCATCCAGCTCCAACCCCTGCCACGGGCAGGGACACCTTCCACTAGAGCAGCTTGCTCCAAGCCCCTGTGTCCAACCTGGCCTTGAACACTGCCAGGGATGGGGCAGCCACAGCTTCTCTGGGCACCCTGTGCCAGCGCCTCAGCACCCTCACAGGGAAGAACTCAAATTTGTGACAACCTCCCAGGCCCTTCACAGTTTTCATGTACCTGGCAAAATATCAGCATCTTCCAGATCTTGCAGCCTTTCCGATAGATGTTCAGCTTCTTCTCTATTTCCTCTGCAATAAACACATTGGGAAATTAGAACCATGGAGGAAGTTCAAAATTAATCTTATTTCTTGTCACGTCAGTGCTGAAGGCAGGAGGCTGAGCTGCGAGAGGTGCTCAGCACCCACATTCGCAATGATGACAAAGCAAACCCTTCGCTTTCATGCTGTGGAAAGCAGGAAACCCTGACACATCCCAGGGCAGAGAAGGGACAGAGCAGCACCAGGTACTGCTCTGCAGTGACCATGGCACTGGACTAGATCCAGTTGTGCTGACCCTCTGCTAAAGCTCCCCTTCACCTACAAGGGTACAATGAATCTTTGCTGCCCTGAGCCTCAGCTTCTCTTCCATAAACTCGGAGCTTGGCACAGAACATGGGCCACAGAAGTGAAGTTTTCTTACTGCAGCACATCCAACAGCACTGACACTGTCAGGTGTCACTGGGTGACAAAAGCACCTTTACGTGTGGCAGCTGAGGCACAGGGCAGTGGAGTGACTAACATGTTGATCAGTTACACCTGCAATGGGCAGGAGTTAAGGAAATAACACTCACGTACCAAGGATGTCATCAAAGGTGGCATGTTCATGGTCCTGGAAACCAAGAGAGAAAACATATCAAGGTTTACTGTCATTACACCAGCTCCCACGACATTATTATAGTCTCTAACCTTGTACACAGCTCCCATGACATTATTATAGTCTCTAACACTGCACACAATCCACACACATCCCAAACGGATGCTCCAAGAGCTCAATTTTATCAACTGATTGTGTCTGGTCACACCACAGTAATAACCACCCTAAACCTCATCTAAGTAAAGCAGCTGAAGACTGAGTGGTTCATGAAGACCAAGTCTCAAAGCTGAATCCTGCAGACTCCACAGCACACATCATCCATCAGATGCAGTCAGCATCAGCAATGACTATTTGCCTCTTGGCCCATGTTTTGTAGCCAGCCTCTGGCTCTAGATGTGTCTAAGATGGCTACAAACAGTCACAGTACCAACACATCTGTCTCTGGCACAGCAGGGTCATCAGGATATCCCTTTCAAATGCAGTTAATATAAAGTGATGAGGAAAAGAAACCCATGGACCCATGCTGGTGCTTCAGACACCTGCTCCTAGAGAAAAACCGAGGTTCTGACTGACAGGGCTGCACCACTGTACAGTGTCAGGGCTCATGGTCCAATGCAGAGCTCCGAGGTTCTAAGGATGAACAGAAGGAGGAGCCCTAAGCCTGGCAACACACAGCTCTGCCTGGGTGCTCAGTCCTGCCCTTTCCTTGTTGATCTTCCCAAGCTCCCTGGTTGTGCTTCCATAGTCTGGCAGCCCCATGTGCGATTTCCACTCCTCCGTACTCTACCACTGAGACCTGAGCTCCCCTCCCCGAGCTACCCCAGACCCAAATCACAGAATCCCAGACTGGTTTGTATTGGCAGGGACCTTAAAGCTCCTCCAGCTCCAACCCCTGCCATGGGCAGGGACACCTTCCACTAGAGCAGCTTGCTCCAAGCCCCTGTGTCCAACCTGGCCTTGAACACTGCCAGGGATGGGGCAGCCACAGCTTCTCTGGGCACCCTGTGCCAGCGCCTCAGCACCCTCACAGGGAAGAGCTTCTGCCTAAGAGCTCATCTCAGTCTCCCCTCTGGCAGGTTAAAGCCATTCCCCTTGGCCTGTCCCTACAGGCCCTTGTCCCAAGCCCCTCTCCAGCTTTCCTGCAGCCCCTTTAGGCACTGGAGCTGCTCTCAGGTCTCCCCTTCAGGAGCCTTCTCTTCTCCAGGCTGACCCAGCCCAGCTCTCTCAGCCTGGCTCCAGAGCAGAGCTGCTCCAGCCCTCGCAGCATCTCCTGGGTTCAGCACACCCCCAGCCCTTTCCTGACAGCTTTCCCAAATCATATCAGTGTTTCAGAATTCCCATAACAGGAACCAGGGATAGGGACAAGAAACCCCCATTAAATAATTGTGTGTGAAGCCTGCTCCCACCCATCCAAGCCATAGCAGAAGTGAAACACTTACATAGAGAATGGGGATGATAGAGGGATCGTCCCTGCGGATAATTGTTGGGACATACTCTGCTTTGGGCACCTTGGAGGAAATGAGCTGTAACGGGAGAAAGGAAACAGCATGAGGAGAAGGCAGTGGAGTAAAAAAGCACAAAGGCCACGGTAACAGTGCCCTGTTCAGTTGCTCTCAGGTGTTACCCAGCTCATCCAGCCTGTCTGCATCCCTCTGGAAGGTCCTCCAAGCCTCTGATCCACTACAGAGCACCCCGAGGTCTGCCCACTCCTGCTATGTGTCACAGTGTCCTCGAGCCCCAGCTGATGAGCACACAGCTCTGCTGACAGGCAGGACTGAGCCTGAGACAGCAGTTTGTAAAGTGGAGCCCAGTGTGCAGAGGTAGCAGCTTGTGCATCACCACAAATGGCAAAGATCACTTCTCTACAGCCCTCCTCTGTGCCAGGGTCTGCAGAGGATCATTCAAACAGGCACACAAATCTGGCTGGTGGTGGGATGGCTGCATACCTGAATGGGAACCAGCCGAGGGATGAAACAGCATCAGCACAGGCAGACACAGGATGTCAGGCAGATGCAGGTTGCCTGGCAACTCCAGCTGAAGCTTCAGCTGGCTCCAGCAGCATGAGAGCCCAGAGGATTCTCCTGCTGTCAGCACAAGCACAGCACAAGGACTATGGGAACATAGGCAGTTTGACTGTGCTGTGATTTCAGGCACCTCTGTTCATCACTTTGAGAGTGGAGCAGGCAGCGGTGCTGGTGGGCTTGTGGGTTCCAGCTTAGGCTGGCTTCAGAGCCCTCCCTCCTAGACAGCACATCACTGCTTTAGCCACTTGGCAGGTAATGCAAAGGTTCTGAAGAGTCCAGGGAGGTAATCATCACATGCACCACCTGGGAGACACACCGGAGATGTCAAGGGCTGAACAAACCCAAGTTCTGGGTTCCTGGTGATCCATTCAAATGCAGTCCTGCTCTGCTGGACTGGCAATGCCACCCTGAAAGCTTGAGATCCCTTTGCCTGAGTACTGGTGCATGTGGCCAAAGGATGTGTCAAGATCTGGTCCTGTGTGCCAAATCCCCCAGGGCATAGCAGGAGGGAGTGCAGGGAGATGAGCACCAAGGAATCATAGAAGAGCAGACAGCATCATAACACAGAGCTCCATACCAGGCAAGTAACAACAGGAGGGAGGCACTGCTGGAGACTCACATCTCCAGTTATTGACTCAGTTCAGTGTTGGTGACAGTCCTGCTCTGATCTCAGGCTGGACTACAGGTCCTTCCACTTCCAGTTTTCTTTCAACACATCCCCAGCAATAACAGATGCTCAATACCATGTCTTGGCTGATCTCTCAGTGACCCTCATATACACCTGAAGAGTTACTTACATGAAAGACTTGCCTCTTCTCATGAAGATCCTAAACTTAGCAGCTCTGAAAGGACAGACACAGCCCGAGTAGATACAGGTAGCAGAGTTGAAATCCTCACCATTATTTTTGGTGGAATAAAGTCTTCTCCATCACATGCCACGGCTTCAAGTTCCTTTTCTGCTTCCCAGTTCAAGTCAAAGTTGCCATCCAAAGTGCCACAGGAATCCTGAAGGTCATGGCCTGCAGGAACAGTGTGCATTACAAGGGCAGAACAGCCTCCCTTCCCCTCTTGGTCCTGTGTGGCAGCCACCTTGCAGGAGGTGCCACAAGCCCTCCTTGTGCCCTCCTTTCTTCCCCCACAGACACCACACTGGGGCTAGTGCCCCTGAGCAGACAAAACACTTAACAAATGAGGAGAGCACACACAGAGCTGGTACCACACATCACTCCACAGTTCATCACTCCACAGTCACCACATTCAGCTTTCAAGTGCTAATCACAACAGCCACCCTGTCACTTCAGAAATGGAGGAGGAGACAGAACACAGGCAGACTCTACACTTTAACATTGCCAAGCTGATGAGCAAAAGTCCACAGACTTCAAAGCTGGTTTCCTTGTAATTATTGCTCTGACACTGTCTTCTGTGATTATAAACTCTGCCTTGTTGGTCAAACTGATGCTGGCAGAGAAGTCCCAGCGCGTGAGGACAGCCGTAGCAAACAGCAGTATTGCAAGAGTACACTTGAATTTGCTCTCCAAACTGACCTTACCTGTTGCCCTTCAAGCCTCCTGGGGAAAAAAAATCTGGAAGGAATATAATTGACCATTAAAGGTTAGAAACAGAGATGGTTCCCTGGAGCCAAGGCCTGAGGAAAGAGAACCAAGACGCCCCTGTTTGCGCCTTTGGGGATGTCCGAGTGTCAGAGTGTCCCTGGCAGTGCCTGGAGCCTGTCTGAACCATGTCTTTTCCATTCGCCTCTGAGTTAGCTGAGGGAGTGGGGAGGAATCAGACTGCAGAGGAACCATCGGGTCATGTTTTGAACCTACACCTCCCCCTACAACCTGGTGTGTGTCTTCTAGGAGGGCTGCACCTCGTGCTTACCTAGTAGGTGAGTCCATTCCATTACTGAAATTCGTTTACATTACATCCCATTTCGACATGGGCAAACTCACATCCACCATGTGTCTTGCCCACAGGATTTCAATAAAAGCTGGGTAAAACAGCTGTTCCCTTTATAAAAAGACAGTGGGAAGACGCTGATATTTCCTCCTGTGAATTAACACACCAGCATCTCAGTCCCCACGAGCATTACTGCGGATTCCCAGAGGAATTCCTGACAGCCCAAACAAGGATCAGATTGCCCCAGGCTATCACCCGTACAGCCAGCATGGCCAGGAAAGCAAAGCTCCATCTCATGGAGCGCTGCAGCTGTGCTCCTGAGCCATTCCAGCCTAGGAAAGAGCTCAGAAGGGGCTCTGCACTGGAAGCCAGGCAGGTTAGCCCTGCTGTGGTGAAAGCCTTGGACTGGTGTGCTTCCAGGTAGGTTGTTTTGGTCCCAGGCAAATATGGGATGATGGGAACAGAGGGCTGCAAGACAGCTGTCCCCCTGGGTATCCTTTGGCAACTGCACAGTAACATGAGGTTGGATGGGTTGTGCTCTACAAATAAATACAGGCACACACAGATGAACAAGTGTATCTACCCGGAGTGGTACTTGCTCAGATCTCATGGAACTAAAAGGATCACAGATGGGACAAAAGAGCACAGAGGAGTTCCTCCAGTGGGGCTCCAGTCCGCACCTCAGCTGGAGGTTTGGCCACAGGAGGAAGCTCAAAGGACTCAGAACTCACTTTCTCGAGAGTCATGGAAGGAATCGGCTTTGATGGGAGTCGGGTCACTCCAGGACCTGCTGAAGCTCCTCTCACGCCGTTCGGCAAATGCTAGGATAAAACCAGAGCAGGACATTAACAGACTCCAAAGCCACCTCTGCTGCTGCCAGCAAACAAAACATCCAGAGATTTCCACCAAAGCCACACATCACGGACTCCCCTGTGCTTGTTCTTCACTCGCCAAACGTGAGGCCTTTCCACACAGCAAACAAGGGTCTACCTTCTGGACAGCAAAAGGTAATGTGCTCACTTCCTGAGCAGGACCATTACAGGGTACGGAACACAGCAAAAGAGAACACTTGATGCTCTCTCAAATGCACACAGCTCAGTCTAATCAAGACTTTTCCAGTGTTCCAGTATCAATGCTCTGACTCAAAGGGCCTCACGGACGTACTCAACAACTAATGACACCTCCACGACCAGAAGAAGGCAGTAGTTCTCCAGTTTCCCCTGCATGTTCTAATGCATCCCAGTTAGAGCTGGACCAGATGGGATGGGAGGACTCTGGAAAGCTCCCACTTTCTAAACTTTCCTGCAAAAGAGGAAATCCTTCAGGTTTTGCCTGCACTCGTGTGAGCACTCCTCCCCCAGCTTTCCTTGTTTGTCCAAGGGGCATTATACTGTTTGTACCAGCATTTCCCAAGCAGAACCAGGGAGCTTAGCCCAGCTGGCTGCACTGCAGGCAAATTCCTGGGAGCTGCCAACAATATCTGACTTGGCAAGCCCCTGTGAAAGCCATTACACCCAGATTAACAGCCACTTATAGCCACTAATACCTATTTCTGGTAGCAGACAGAGCAAGTTTGCTGCAGTGTGTCCAGTAACAGCATCTCATGTCAGGAATTGACTGCAGATCTGCATTATAACAGCTGAGAAGCAACCTGTCCTTGCTGCAGTGTGTCCAAGTGTGGGAGTCCAGGGAGACAAATCACATAGGAAGCTCTTCAGGTGATCTCCATCCTCAGCTTTCATTTAAACCCAGGCATTTAGCTACTGTGCACATGAAGAAAGCTTTGAAAACATGACCCGAGAGTTACCAAGGCAGAGGCATGCCTGAGCTTCCAGACAGCTCTAGGGTACATAAGCCCTCTTCATTTCAGGCAGTGCTAACTCAGATGCCAATAAAGACTCTTTGAAGGACAATGCTCTTTGCTGTTCACCCCCCACAGCATATGAGAAAGGAAAGGATGCAAATTCAACTCAGCAGTGCTTTGCAGTGGGCAGTCTGTATGTGATGCTTGGCCAGAGGTGGGAAGAACGAGCTGTTTCCTCTTCTGGAGCAATCCTCAGGAGGTTACACCATTCTTAGCCCACTTCACAACGATAAGGGAGCTGCCCAAACCAAGTCATGGAGTGTTGCCTTCCTCAGGGAAAGGGAACTGCTGTATCCCAGGTGATTTCTTCCCCAGTAGAGGCATTAAACACTCCCTTATTTCCCCTTTGCTACAATTTCTTCCCTGTTCCTCTTCTTCCTTCCACCATCCTCTCAGCAACTCTCCCCCACATCCTGCTGTGGAGATGGCGGTGAGACAGGGGAGGAGAAGAGAGAAAGCCACGAGCCCACTTGGCACATGGAGCACCAACTGTCCCAGGAGCCACAGCTGGTCCTCAGCTTCAGGAAGAGGAGTAAGAGGCCAGGCAGCCCTCGCCAGCTCCGCAGAACTCCCAGCTCTGATTCTGCTCACAAGTGCCTGCACTGGTCATCACCAAACCCCACACACATACACGACAAGGATGCTGCAGTTCTTCCACTCCTTGCACTGACACCACGGAGATCAGCCACGGCCAAAGCAGAGGGTCCTCAGAAATAGCCTGCAGGCTGCTTGCAGACATTCATGTGTCCTGGAGACTTGCAACAACCTGGCTGCTTCTTTGTAAAATGGCACCAGCACCTTTCTCTGGCCCAGTGCTAGGTCCTTTCTACCCACATCTGCATGCAAGTTCCCATATCCCACCAGCACAACCCCAGCTCCTCACATCCACATCTGACAGGTTCAGTGCTCACTTACTTTGTGCTTTAACCCTTCGGCTCCCCACCATGCGGAGGTGCTTCCGAAAATTCCTGAAAGAAGGCCAAACAGAACCTGTGAGAAAGGCAACCCAGAGCAAGACCTGGGCCCAGCAGGCTGGGAACAGCTGTGAGGGAAACAGTGATCTTGGGAAGACAGTGTGTTTCCTTCTGGGCATTCGAAAGCTGAGACCAGGCTCCCAGCCTGCACCTATTCAGTGCTGGGGATGGTCGTGTTTGTCAGGAGCACGGCTATTTCTTCCTGGCTGGAATACATGGCAGTCCCTTTCTCAGAGCCTGCTCTCACCTTCCTATGACCAGCATGCCTGCGCTACCTCTGCTGAAGACACTGGCTGCTGCCTATGCTGGCAATGGTCCCTCTTCTCATAAAGAGCAGTAACTGCTCCTCTCCCCTGTGCTCCACGCATGCTTCAGCAGGGAGGTGGGTGCCCAGGCTCTGCCCTGCTCATGCACACACCACGCTCCTGGCTGTGCTCATTCCCAACACATTCCCAGCAGCTGCTAAAATCCCCCCTATGCTGTTAGCAGCCATGCAGCCCCTACTGCCCTCCAGGGCAGGGAGCTGGGAAAGATGGAAGCAGCTTCCTCCTTGTGAGGCAGGGCTGTAGGTTGTCAGCAGGGCTGGCTGTCCTCATGGGCCTGCCTAAGGCTCACAGGTAGAGCTCAGTGGGGCTGCAGAGTACACAGATCCAGAGGAAGCCACCAGAGGATGAGCCTTGGGGAGCAGCTACACCCCAGAGTCAGGTCTGTGTAAAACAGACCATCCCGGCCACTCCTGAGCGACCATGGCAAAGGGACTCAGTGCTGTCCCTTCAAGTGCAAAGGACCTCTTTCCCTTGGTTTCATAGAATCCCAGCCTGGTTTGTGTTGGAAGGGACCTTAAGGCTCATCCAGCTCCAACCCCTGCCATGGGCAGGGACACCTTCCACCAGAGCAGCTTGCTCCAAGCCCCTGTGTCCAACCTGGCCTTGAACACTGCCAGGGATGGGGCAGCCACAGCTTCTCTGGGCACCCTGTGCCAGCGCCTCAGCACCCTCCCAGGGAAGAGCTTCTGCCTAAGAGCTCATCTCAGTCTCCCTCTGGCAGGTTAAAGCCATTTCTCATCACTTGCCTAGACAAGAACCAAAGAGGACAGAAACCAAACAGGACACCAGAAGAGACACAGGGAAGTGGCAGCACATGGACTATCACCCTCCATGAAGCCTAATTGCGTGGCTTCACCCTGCAGAGCAGCCCCATGGCCCCAGGGCTGTCAGCCAGCACAGCAGCCTGCCTGAAGTGCAGGAGCCTTCCTGGGGTCCCTTCTGCCCCATCAACACACACTGCAGACACCAAGCAACAGAGCCCAGTGCTGGTGAAAGGGGTAACATGACGAGTGGTCTGGCTCACACACAGGTTAGTGGTATCAGTAAAGACACAGTACAACCATGCAGATACATCAGCAAACACTAGAAGACACTTCCAGCACTGACATGTTGTTCAGAAAACATTGGATATGTCCATTCCTGTACAGCTCAATCAACACAGCCCTCATGGGAGAACATTTAACCCATGTCCCATTTAGCCTTCTGCACTGTGCTCCACCTTGGCTTTGGATCCCATCCTGTCATCAGGATGCAGCTCAAGAAGGAAAAGCTGGGCAGTGAAGCTGGGAGCAGCATTATTCCATGACAAATTTCCACGTGCACCTGGGCTATTAAAGCTGTTTCCCAAAGCTTTATTTTAGCCCTGCTTGGGTACACGAAGATTCACTGCTGTGGATCAGACACCTGCCCCTTTAGACAGGAAGAAGCCCCATTCACTACACAGGGACTGGCTCTGTATACAGCCCTTCTGGGGAGGGGGATGACTGATGTGGGCTGTCTTATTGCACAATAGATTCAAACCCAAATACAATGTTTTAAGTGAAACAGGGACGTTCTTTACACAGAAAGGTCGCAGACACACAATGTAGCTTATCAGAATGAAAGTTGTCATGGTGCATTGTAAAACCAAGGTCATACCAGGCACTGAGCCTGAGATCATACAGACACTGAGCACCCACATAATTGCCAAGGCCACTGTTGCTTTGGGCTTTGGGCATTTGGAGTAAAGCCCATTCTGGAGTAAAGATCAGTCTTCTGTTGAATGCTCAGCTGTCCTCTCTGCAGAGGAGCTTATTCAGACCTTGGGGGCAGGGGTTAAAGCAGCCTTTGCCATGAAGATGCTGCTCCCAGCTGCTTGGACAACTTGCTCCCTCCCACGACTGCAGCTGAGTGAAGCTGTCTAGATACACAAACACTGCTCCAGCAGCTCAAGGGGATCCAGCTGCTTCAAGCTGACCACTGCACTACATGCTTGGAGAATGGGCCAAAGGCCATTTTTAGCTCCTTGTTGCTTCTAGAATAAAAGCACCTTGGAAAGGAGGCCCAAGCCTGGAACTGCCTTTTACTGTGGGCATCCTGTGGTCATCTAGAGCCTTCTGAGGGCTTTCTGCAGCTGTATGGGCCCTCAGGCCCCTCTGCTTGCATGTTAGCACAGAAGGACTGGCACAGGAGCCCTGGGAGAGCTGCAGTCTCCTCTGTGAGCAGCAGGGTACATAAACCTGCCCATCTTCCTGCCTAGTGGCTGCAGCTGCACCCACAACACCCAGTGTTACTTGAGCACCAGCAAGATCTCATCACCCATCAAATGAACAAGCATCCCCCAAGTTACACTGACACAACCTCCTTATGACTCCCTTTCCTGAACAGCCCTCCTCCAGACTGGCTCTACATGACCCTATGCAACTCCACGGCATCCATCCCAGCCACAGCAGCCCCATTCCACACCCTCTGCATAGAAGCCTTTTTACTGCTCAGACAGAGGTCAGGGGCAGAACTGCTGACCGAGAAAACTCCCAACATCACCTCACACGTTCTCAGCTCCTCCTTGCAATGGTCCTTCAGCAAACCACTGGGCATCACTCACTGTCACTGCAACACCCATCGTGTGCTGTGCCACACAAACAGCCTCCCATGCACCAGGCACACAGGACCAAGCACTGGAGGGGCTGTGTGATGACAACTGAGCTTCCAAGACATCCAAGCCACGAATTGCTGCACAACATCCAAAGCTCTGGGGTCCTCCTCCCTCCAGGAGGAGAGCCGAACACGAACCACAACCCCACAGCCCACTGCCCTCTGCTCTTTTACAGCAAGATGAATGCAGATGGGCTCCCACTGTTCAATCCTGCCCAGATCTGCAGTGTCCACAGGTTGAAGGGACACACTGTTCACCCAACACAAGGATGCCATCAATCCGTCCTCTATCCTGACTACACAGCATCACTGAGGGATACAACTCCTACTCCCCTACTTGCAAACCACATGAACAAGCCATTTCCTAACAAAGACTCGCCTCTGTCTAATAAATCCTGTGAAATCTTAAAGACACTATTTCACAGGGTCTTCAGTTGTGATTCTTATTTATCATCATTATTGAGGGAAAAAACCCCATTACCCTCAAGTTGCTAATGAAAACAATTCCTGGCAATTTCCCAGTTAAGAAAACCTGATGTTTTTCTCCCACTTTGTTTTGAACAGTGCTGAAGTGATCATGACAGTTTTTAACCAATGACACATACACTGTGTTATCCATCTTAGCAGGCTGCCAAAATAATCGAGCCTTGGCACATGTGAAAACCAGAACAGTTCTGATCACCACAGTGGCTAAATGATGTGCCTGTGAAGCCAGCAGAAAGAAACCAGGGCCCTTCTGTCATACCCAGATGACCAATCCCTTTCTCTTTCCTTTCTGTTCTTTTCAGAAAAGCTTGAAAAAAATCAGTTCTGGTCACTAGAGGGGTACATTTTGCCTAGGTCAGATTTTCTGGAGTGCATCTGTAGATGCAGCAACAGTACAGTAAAGTACACATAGAATAATAAAATCATAGATTGGTTTGTGTTGGAAGGGACCTTAAAGCTCATCCAGCTCCAACCCCTGCCACAGGCAGGGACACCTTCCCCTAGAGCAGCTTGCTCCAAGCCCCTGTGTCCAACCTGGCCTTGAACACTGCCAGGGATGGGGCAGCCACAGCTTTTCTGGGCACCCTGTGCCAGCGCCTCAGCACCCTCACAGGGAAGAACTTCTGCCTTAGATCCAACCTGAAATTCCCCTGTTTAAGTTTAAACCCATTCCCCTTTGTTCTGTCACTACAGTCCCTAACGAATAGTCCCTCTCCAGCATCCTTGTAGCCCCCTTTAGACACTGGAAGCTGCTATGAAATCCATCTAACCACAAACAAATTTAAAGTATCTGGGAGAGAACTGGGGAAATTGCACCTTTAATTCTTCTATATACATTTTTTACTGCCTGAGACACAGATCCTGTATATTATATTCAGAAGCTTAAGAAACTACAGTGTTCCTTTAAGAAGATAGAGACCAGCTATCTTAAGCCCTGCAGCATCATTCACCTCCACATTTCCAACACAGCCACTGCTAATGTCCCTAGAACAGCAACACAGACAGGGACAACCACGTTCAGTGCCGTCAAGCCTCAGGAATGACACCCGGAGGGCCCATGCGAGGGTGGAGCTGGGGAGGGAACGGGCCCTACCTCTGTATAACAGCTGCAGAATCATTCTCTCGCTTCCGCCTCTTCCTCTCTGCGTAGCCCCTGAACGCCCTGGGAAACCATGTCAAGCCATTAAGCAGCTACACAGCTTTGGACTGGAGAGGACACGAAACACAGACAGGAGAGGCCTCACCACACGACAGAGAGAAAGCTGACCAAGGAAGAGAGCCAGCCCTTGCAGGCCTGCGTGCGAGTCAGGGACCAGGCAAACACTCGCTGAGCCAAAGGTCCTCACTCCCTAGGGTTGGTGGTTGCACAAAGTTGTTGTTCCTAAAGCAAAACAGCGACCAGACCATGGCCCAAAGAATATGGGCGAGCAGTCATCATCCCTGCTACGGAGGAACTGGGCTAAGAGACTGCAAACACAAAACCCCTTACACCAGGATCAAGAGGGACAAAAGCATGCCAGCAACTCCAGTCTCCATTTTGAAGATGAGGATGGTTGTGGTGTGATCTGTGTAGGCCTACCAGGTGTAGCCATCTAATCTCCTGCCTGCTGACAAACAGCCCTAGCATAGGGAAAGCACGATATGATGGACAGGAGAGGAGAGTTTATGCAGAACACCAACAGACAAGGAAATAATGAAGATTATACTTACGAGATGCTAGAGATTCCAGGAGATGCAGGGGAAAGAAAGAGAAGAGGAGTTCATTAGTGCTCAGCCCCAGCAGCATTCCAAGGGAATTCTCACTCCAGAGGGAATCTTTCTTGTTAGGTGAAATTGCTTTTTAAATGAAACATTTCTCAGTGGTAAGACTCCTACTTGACCGAGCTAAATCCTCCCTGGGGCAGTGCTGGCATGCAGCTTGGATGCAAATTAAGCTCCTTGTAGACCCAGAGAACATGCAGAGGTACAACTGAGAGCTGAACCTGGCCCATCAGGCTGCAATGGGAGCTCAGCATCATGGACTTCTGGAGCAGGGAGACCTTCCCACACAGTGACAAAGACTTGTGAAGTCACCTCGTGCTGTCTGGTCTATGAAGGAAGAGAGCAAGGTGGACTGAAGGCACCTAGAGCAGAGGCCAGGAAGACAGGGGCACCCGGGGGATCCCTGTCACCCCAAGCAGCTTAAGGAGGTGCCCTGAACTCCTGGAGATGTTTCCATGCAATCTCTAGAGGCAGCACATTAACCTGAAACATTAACCTGGGAGCTATGTTAACCAGGGGAGCTGTGCTCCTCAGGGGTTTCCTTAGGGCACCATTTCCCAAACCAGCCTCACTTTGCCCTTCAAGCCCTGTAAAGCCCTGCCATGGGCCATCATTCTGCAGTAAACCTTGTGCCCACCAAAGATGACTTCCTCAATACTGGATCCAGCCCTCCCTGCCATCGGTCCTTACAGGTCCGATCCACTCTGGGTTATCCCAGAATCAACAATCAGCCTCTTTTGGGGATTCAGGAAGGGAAAGGTAGGAAGGAAAAGAAATGGCAGAGACAGATTACATAAAGGACACCAGACAAGGAGAAACAGGAGTAGAGCTGAGGGTGACACAGGGAAGAAGACAAGGCTGGAGAAGGGCCTTAGAAGCAGAACAGTGTCTCATTTCCCTCATTGCTTGCCTTGGCTTTCCAGCCAGACAGGAAATACTTGAAACCAGGAAGACAGCATTTCCTGACAAGTTGGGTACAACCTGGAAATGAGGCTTCCCTTCTTCAGTCCTTTGAGAAGTGCCTCTTCCCAACACACAGCAAGCAGGGCACCAAAACCTGCCTGAGTCTGGAGAGAAAGGCTGTTCCTAACCCAGATCCAGCCACACTTCACAGTGACACCTTCCTCAAATGCCCAGACCAGGGCAGAAGCTGCAGGGCTACATCTCATCCCATAGAGAAGCACTCCTCTGGCTGACGGATGCAGGACAAGCCTGGAATCATGTTCCCTTGAGACAGTGGCTGCAGCAGAAGCAAGTGCTGGAGGGTCTCATGGTGCTGCCACAGGACCCTCTCTCTGCAGCAGCAGCCAGGGACAGGCACGTCACAGAGAAAATCAGGGAAGCAGAGGAGAGCTGAGTAGCCCAAGGAGTTAAAGAAGGTAAAACCAAACAAGTGGGAGTAGTAGGAAAGAGAACTAATAAGCACAAGAGAGAAATCAATAAGAGGCAAGGCTGTCTCTCTCACCCACTGCAGTGCCAAACATGCAACTCGATTGCTTCAGGCTCTTAGCTACAGCTCTGAGTGGGCCATGAGCTTTCAGCTGCACAATAAAAGCTATAGCAGAGGTTTCACTTACGCTTGCATAGTTGTAGTAGCAGTTTGGAAACTGAAGAGGTTCTCTTTTGGGAACCAGGTTCGTATGGGGACATCATCTGGAAAAGAGAGAGCAAAACCTGAGAATCCAGTAGGCAGAGACATCCTTCAGGCAGCAACACTTCCCAAGCTCCTTCTTTTAGTGCTGTTCTTTAGCATCCTGCCCTGTACTAACAGAAAAGCCTCATCCTCCTCTATATCTGCACACTACCACCAAGTGTAAATTTGTGCTAAGCCATCTAACAGGCTGCTTAACTGAAGAATGTAAGCTCCATCCTAAACCTGGAAGATTAGAATAATCCAGGAATTACAGGAGAGACATTTGAACCAGAAGAAAATACAGGAGAAAGAAATAGTTTTCATCAAAAGCCTTTTCCAGCCTCTGCCTTTCCCTTAGTGCCATTAATTTGAATTGTCCCATTTGTCCAGCTCCCTGAAACAACCTCCTGTGAAAGACAAAAAGCATTCACCTTCCTCTCCTCAGGACCATAAGCCTGAGATATGGCCTTCTTTTTGTGGTTTTAAAAGTCAAACAGCGTATCAGCTGCACAATCCACAGCTAACTCTGGGCTGCTTTGGTTGCCTGTGTCTGTAAACTGCCCTGCCTGAACCAACTGTGGATCATTTCTTAATTCCACTGCATTAGGACACTGCATCATCGTCACATAATCACAGAATCCCAGCCTGGTTTAGGTTGGGTTGGAAGGGACCTTAAAGCTCCTCCAGCTCCAACCCTGCCATGGGCAGGGACACCTTCCACTAGAGCAGCTTGCTCCAAGGCCCTGTGTCCAACAATGACCACCAAGACAAAAAGCAAGCACCAAACTGAGTCACTAACGATGAGTGTGGGATGGTGGTGACCAGAACCTGACCAAGAAGCAGCTCCTACTGAAGCCTCCCAGGCTGAAGTCAGTCAGGCAGGGACTCGGAGGTATCAAAATCCACTGACACAAGACGTGCCAGAACTCAAGGATTTGGGTCTGATTTTTCGTCTTGCTTCACTCCCAGTTTGTGGCTTCCTTGCTCAGTGCCTTGCCACAGGCTGCCTGATCCCGTGCTTGCTTCCCTTATTCAAGTTTAAGATCAGCTGCGTTATCTTAGTCATTAATATTCTGGCATTGTCAAGAGGATTCTTTTAATTCACTTCAGTTGGCCCAAACCCAATCAAACCCAATCAAACCCTGCACACCTACTGCAGACACAATTACTACAGACCAAAGCTTACCCAGTGATTTGTACAGATCATTATGCTACAGACTCATCCTGCTGTTCCCTGGAATAGAAGAGTGGCTGCAATTAGAGATGCAAAAAAATGCTAAATGCAACTGGGGAGGCTCCCTCTAAAGTGAAGCTTCCAAGGAATCCTATAGAAAGCTCTAACACACGCTCCTCAGCTCACAGTTTACGTCAAGCCTTGTATAAAGGCACCCTAAGGAAATATATGTTAAATGAAAACTGCATTCCAGTATGCTAAATACTTCTTATGAAGTTCCTATGTCTGCTCTTCTCCAAAGAACAGATGGAGGAGAAATGCAAAACATCTCAGGCTGTAAATGAATTACTGGTTTGAAGTCTCAAACCCACAGAAGTGGTGGAGGAGAAGTTGGACAAATTCCTTTTCAGCCAACAATTCTGTTCAGACTTCTCCAGCACTACACACCTCAAAGGACTGGCAATCTCTTAATGAATTTTAGTTTTAAAGCCCCCAGCTTTGATTCAAAGCAGAGCCAGTGTTTTATGATACTTTACCTGGACAATCACTGCAGCTTTCCTCCTTTTCTGATAGGCAGGAGTCAACACAAGAAAGATATCACTCCCCTACCCAAAGCACTCAATGGAGAATAAAAGATTTGGGACCCTTCAGAAACACCTCATTACCAGCTAGAGGTAGAACAGTAGCAGAGAAGGGGACCAGGGAGCAGAGCTCAGCTCCAGAGCTCATCCCCTAAATAAGATTCAGATTCTGAGTGTGGCTATCTTGCTTCCAGGAGCAGGTAGCACGCACTGCTTTGGCCAGGCAGAGCATCTTCTTCTGCTTTCTTCATCAACTGTGACAAAACAGCGAGGGAACCATGGGCCTGGGTAAGACTGGAGGCACACCACCACCACCATCAGCACCTCCAGCCACATGCCAGGGGATAAACTCATCTCAGCACCTCTGTTCATGAGTGGATGTGTTTGTATGAGACACAGGGAGCAGCGCAGGAGATGACAGCTTGTGCTTCTCTGGAATGGTGTTAGGCATCATAAACTCAGCATAAAAATCCATATAAATCATGCCAATCTGGCCTAACTGCAGCAATAACACATCATGTAAATCCAAACAGAGGAGGCAGCACTGTAAAGTGAACCTCTGGGGAAATTAGTCCATCTCTCCCATCTCCACTGTTTTCTCCACCAGCCATGCATGAAGGACATCCCAAAGAATACTTCTTGCATCCTCTGACAGTTATCCCATTCCATTCTCAGTTTTCCTCTGAGTAACAACACTTGGATAGAGCACGCAAATGAGACCAAGCTGAGAAAACTCTCATTCCATGATGCCAGTGCTGTGATGGGATTTGGACTCAGAAGCGCACATGGATGCATTCAGAAGCTTGAGACAAGCACCGAGGGTGGCTGCTGCCTGCTTGTAGGGAACATAAAATACTCCCCCAGTTTCAGCACTGTCCATTTTGTTCCCATTTAAGTAACTACCCTGATCTGTCTTCAGAAAGGCAAATCTCCATTTCTTATTGAGAACTATGCCTAACAAAAACTGATGCCTGGTTGACAATCTATTGTAAATCCCAAGGCCCAGAAACAACGTGGCACCTCTCTATACCATTTGCTAGGACAGATTTTTCCAGCAGAAGTGTTTACGAGTTAGACTTTCCAGTAGTGATCTGGAGCTTTCCTTCAGTATCATGTAACCTGCCTCAGTCCCACAGTGCACAGCACAGTTCTGATTTGTTCAGGTTGGGCTGCTTTGGGCTGGGGTAGGGTTATTTTTCTTCACAGTAGCAGGTTTGGGGGTGTTGGTTTGGGTTTGTACTGCAGCGTTGAGCACACAGGGATGTTTCAGTCACTGCTGAGCAGCTCACACCATGAGGCTGCAATAGATTCAACTCAGAACCATCACCTCCAGAAGACCAAGCCCCCAGGGCTATGATCTCCTCTCCTGAAATGGTTTTGGTTTTGTCTCCTTCCACAAGCTTTCTGGCTGGGTCACCATATGCAGAGCCAACCTTTAACAGGCAAGATATAACCATACAACCATTAAAGGCTTCCCTACAGGAAAACTCTCCTCACTCTTTTTCTTGCACTTCAGCAATAACAACAACTAAGTCCAAACACTCACATACAATGTCTGATGGGAAGCCCCAGAATCCCACGGAACAGAGGGATAATGCTTAAAAAACCACACGCAGGGGTTAGTGGGACTGCAGGTGTTCCGTACGTCTGATAACCAGTTCTGGGTTCATTATTCTTCTTTGGTTATTAGGCCATGTATTTAGTCACGTAACTTCAAGCCCCAAGGTATGAAAAGATGATCCAGAACCCAACCTTTCAGCACCTTTACCTGCAGTAAATATCACTATGATATTTACTAGAAAACCAGGAACCCAGGAAGAAACACAGCCTGATCTCCACAGTCCTCATACTCCATTGCTTTACAAGCCTTGAGCTTTCCTAGCTGGACACTGTGCTCTGAAAGCCTTGGTGTGTCTTTACAGGAGAAAATAAATCAGACAAATCAGGTCAGACTCTCTGCCAGCCACATACTGAGCTGACAGGCAAAGATGGACTGTGTGCTACCTGCTAACTCAGAGCACAGAGATGGTGCCACGTACTTGATGAATGGTTAAGTTTCTAAGGACAATCAGGGATTTTTTTTTAATGTAATTGAATAATTCCAAACCTCTTCCCTGAGAACATGGAGCAAATGCACAGTAAGGGGGAAAGAAAGTCCAGTATTGTGTCACTTGCTAGTATTAATGGACAGCCCAAGAGGTGGCATGCCTCATACCTGAGAGACCCTGCTACACTGGTTCCAGGCACACAGATGAGTACTTTGGGGTGCACCCAGGAACAGAACACCCCATTTGAGCTGAACTGAGGCTCCCGCTGAGCACCCTGGCACTGTCACAAAGATTTCACCAGCCCAGCCCCAGGATGAGGCAGAGAAGACGGTCCTGCTCTGAAGGGCCTCCTGGCTGAGCATAAATGTAGGCTTTGACACAGCCTTTTCTCTCTTGCTCTTCCTTTGCAGAGATGACCCTCACTGAGCTACATGAAGCTGGCATGAAAACCACCCAGTTTATCTGCTGCTTACAAGCTAGAAGCAGAGACAATGGAGCTTGGACAAGCTGACCTCAAATTCAGCTCAGCTTATTTCAGACTCCTCCTTAGACAATCCCTTGCCATGAATGCTGCTGCAAAGTACCAGCAAAGGGGAAACCCTACAGGGCCCAAACTCAAAGCACAGGGCAATGAAACCTCCATACTTAGAGGAGATGGGTACCACCCTCCACCCCTGTGTCAGTGAGTCCCTTTGTGTCCTTCCAGCCCCCAGCACTCACCCTTACTTACCAGACACTCGATCGACACTGTACATCCTCTCCAGCCTTTTCCTGTGCCACCCTGTCTCGCTGGACTGATGGTGCTCCAGGTCAAAGGAATGCTGGGAAGGGGCAGCCAGCCGGGTGCAGTTTGGGCACTCCTTAGAGCCCTGCCTGCTGCCTGGCCAGCCCTTGCAATGCCTGCCAGCACCATGAGAGCCACCAGCACCGTGCACTTGGTGACCGTGGTGGCATTCCTCTTGGGCAGCCCCCTTCATCACCACCAGTTCCATACTTTCATTCTCGTGGTCTGACAGCATCGGCCTCTCGCCGGAGATGGTGTAGACCCGGGGCTTGGGTCCCTCACTGGGAACCTTCTCTGCCTGCTCCTCGGTGAAGCTCCGCTCAAACTTGCCATCGGAGATGACGGAGAGCCTGCGCTTGTTCTGTGCTGCCTGCTGCATCTCCGGGGAGTCCTCCTGCCCGATGTAGGAGTCTGCCAAGAGGTGATCTGGAACAAACAGCACACTTCCCTCAAAACCAAAGCACCCCAGGCACTAGCACATTCAAGAGGCTCTTTGTTACTGCTGCAGGAAGGGAAGGGGTGAGCAGGACATGGTAGGCTCCCCCAGGAACCTTCTCAGATGAATGCATGCCCACAGCAGTCTAAACCTCCAGAGCTGGTACTGAAATGAGACACATTTCTCACAAATACACCCAGTATTTTAAGTGTGCCTGGCCACCAAACAAGGCTGGAAGCAAATGCAGGTCTCACTGCACAGCATGAAAATGCTCATGTGCAAAACAGCCCATGATCAGCTGTCTGCTTCGGCAGGTTTAGCCATGCATGGGCTGCTGGGCTGGTGAGGGTTCACAAGACAAGGACCAGCACCAGCTGGTCACAGCAGTGATAATAAAAAGTGAATGTTCTGTGCACAAAGTTATTTTTTAGAACTAAGGGTAAGGGGCAAACCACCAGGGTTTGGGGGTCATCACCCCCCCCCCCCCCCAATTTTCTGCCAATTAGCTTCATAGAACCAGAGAACCAACCAGGTTGGAAAAGCCCTTAAAGGGCTCATCCAGTCCAACCATTCCCAGCACTGCCAAGGCCACCACTAACCCATGGCACTGAGGCCTCGTCTCCACGCTGTGTGAACACTTGCAGGGACGGTGACTGCAGCCCTGCCCTGGGCAGCCTGTTCCAATGCCTGAGCACCCCCTGGGCAAGGAATTGTTCCTCAGCTCCATCTAAACCTGCCCTGGGGCAGCTTGAGGCCATTTCCTCTTGTCCCATCCCTTGTTCCTTGGGAGCAGAGCCCAGTCCCTCCTGGCTCCATCCTCCTGTCAGGCACTTGTAAGCAGCCATCAGGTCCCCCTTGAGCCTTCTCTTCTCCACACTGAACCCCCCAGGTCCCTCAGCCGTTCCCCATCACACTTGTGCTCCAGGCCCTGCACCAGCTCCGTTGCCCTTCTCTGGCCCCACTCCAGCACCTCAATGTCTGTCTTGGAGTGAGGGGCCCAGAACTGAACACAGGATTTGAGGTGCAGCCTCACCAGCACTCATCGTAGGGGCAAAACCACTGCCCTGGCCCTGATGGTCACGCTGTTGCTGATACAGGCCAGGATGCTGGTGGCTTTCCTGGCTGCCTGGCTCATGTTCAGCTCTGTCAATCAGCACCCCCAGATCCTTTCTTGATGTGAAAGAAAGGCAGTTGGATGTGAAAGAACTGCAGAAGGCCTTCAGCTGACAGCTGCAACCAGCACCCTGCTCTCCACAGCACCCCTGGTTAGCAGACTTCATCCTGTGTGCAGATGGTGACAGCACAGCCAGAGGATGCTGTCCTGAAGGAAAACACAGCCGCTGCCTTTGTAGGGTAGGAAGATGGAAAGCAGAGAGGCCCATGAGCACAACTATCTTCGGAGCCCACACACTGGATGAAGTGCCAGGAAATCTCAGCATTTCCATGGCAATTCCATGCATGAACCCAACAGTAGCTCCCACCCACCTGCTAATCCTTTTCAAGTGGCTGTTAATTACCTCTCAGACTTCCCTCAGCTGGGAAGCAGCAGGGGTTGGGAAAGGGCTCAACAGGCAATGCATTATTCATGTGACTGCTACCCGAGAACCCAAAATCATCAGTGGCCAGCACAGACAGCAGCACTTGAAACACAGGCAGAAACAAACCCCAGCCTTTACTTCATTACCTTTCCTTTAGCTACTGAGCCACGACCTGGAAGACCGCAGCAACAATCTTGGCTCCCTCATAGCTGGCCATGATGGTCTGATGTATGTGTGCAACACAGAGCTTCCACTGCTGCCACACTCTGCTTCCTATGAAGTGCTCTTGTGCCCCTATGAAAAGAGCCCTCCCAAGCTGAGGATGCACATTTGCAGCTTTTGATTCTGAAGCCCCCCCTGGGTTATGCCCACGTTGCCCAGGGCCTCTGCACTGCTCTGTCTGCAGCTGAGACTGAACTGAATTGAGCTGGTACTGGCACAGTGCGTCACCCTGATCTCATTTTTCTGCTTGAGACACAACTCCCTCGACACCACTATGAGACAAATGCATCTGGCCACTCCTGATCAAGAAGTGACCATCAGGACCATGCAGACTGACACAACTTGGGTTCATTTCACTTGGTTCCTAGTGAACCCTCACAGTCTCGACACGGCAGCTGACAGCTTGAGCTGACCAGGAGGAGCTGCCTGTAAAGAAAGCCTCTTGAGCCTCTTCTGATGTTACCTTTGCAGACTGCACATGGAGTCTAAAATCCATGCCTAGGTGCAGTGAGGAGCCATGCAGTCCAACCAGTGCAGAAAGTGTCTCCAAAGTCTCTCCATCCACTTGTCACCCCCCAAGAGGCAGCAGCCACTGCGTTTGTTTTCCAGCAAGTCAGACCCTCTCCAGTTCCAAGACTGATTGTGCTCCAGAGCAGGCACGTCTTGGGAAAACACCAGCAAACGACTCCAAGATCTGCCAAGATGTGTGCTGGCTAATAGTGCCAAGCACACCATCTTGAAAATGAAAAACAAAGGCCAGTTCCAAGTACTCATCTCAGCTTGTCAAACTTACTAACGCGTGTGGGCTCAGTGACGCTACAATTTCTTAAGACCACAAAATAGTGGCTGACAGCTGCCCTGTTCCTCCTGAAATTAATACTTCCATGGAGGACACGGAGCCTCAGGGGAGCAACCCACAGGACTGAGCACCTGTGCTCACGCACTGACAGCACCACAACGCAGATTGAGGACTTGGCACCTCTGTGGGTGGGTAAATGGAAAAATGAAGTACCCCAAGTACGGTATGTCTGAAAATGCTGATGGTTGCAAGTGCAGAGACCAGCTCCTGCCTCTGCTTCATGACCACCAACGTCTGTTCAACCCATAAGATTTAGAGATTTAAGTGGGATGTGACTATAAAAATCACAGCAGGGTTACTCTTGACCAGATGTATTTGACATAAACCACCTGTCTGATCTAGCATGCAGAATGCAAGCATAATCCTTTCTTCCCACCTTACTTGTCTGTTACTCAAGGTGTCTTCACCTGTGCTTATTTAAGAGTTTTCATGGTCTACACTCCACAGTCCTGTCACTACAGCAGTATGCTTTCTCTTTGTCCAAGGACTGGATGATTATTTCTTTTCATTTAATTTAGCACCTTTGGTAACTACACAGCTTCATATGCAAAGGGAATGTGAAGCTCTATAGAAGTTAATAAAGAATATATCTACAGAAAAAAAATAGCATGAAAGGAAAAGAGATTCAAACATCCATCAGAATGAATTACTGGCTTCTAAAGACAAACCTGCACCATTCAGGGAGCAAATCTGTGCTAACATTCACACACACGTGTTCACATACACCAGCACCACTGAGATAGCACCAGGGACTGATTCCCTTGTCTGTGCTTCCAGAGGTGGGATTCAGATGCCAAAGCACTGCACCTGCCTCCACTATGGCATTTCAGATCAATAGTTCTGCTAGAAAAGTGAAACTGGTCTGAAATCAATGCTGAATTGAACCTGAGCCAAAAGGATGCTCAGTGAAGAGGACAAGGTAAGAGGGTACTCCAGCAGTGACAGGAGTTGCCTCCTCAGAATTAGCTGCAGCAGACTGCTGTTAACATCCTCTGCCTGGATACTGCTGCTCTGTCTCATCTTCACGTCACACTTGCCACCTCTCCCACACCCAGCTGCTCCATCCAACTGCTCAGCAGCCCAGGACAGTGTGACTTGGGAGGCCTGGCATAGCTCCCTCCTCTCCAGGCCCTGAGGAAAGCTGACCCAGTGGCAGCTCTGCTCTCCCTCTTTCACTAGCAGCACCCTTGTTTGCCCTGGAGCAGACAACTCAGGTTACTCAGATTTCTTTTCAACTAGATCTGTGGTCTACATGGATTTATTGTGCCTGAGATACTTATCAGCAAAATGAAGGGAAGAGGACCAACATGCTGGATCTGTGAATCATGTCTCTTAACCTGTATTTTCATCACTTCCCTGTTTACCTGCCTAAGTCTAACAGCCTGCCCAAGCCTGGGGGCTTGACAGTCCAGTGCCAAGGACGAATCCACTTCTCAACCCCCTTGTTATTCACTGAACACGTTTCTTTGGCTTCACTTGCTCCTCTTGATATTTCTCTTCACCTTCTACACAACACAATCACTAGGGCATGTGTATCACCAGAGACATAACTACCAACAGCAACTAGCACCTGTACTGGTTAATGTGTGCTACCTTGGTACATGTAGTTCCCGATAATTAGACACTACTATTAACTTACAATGCTTTCCCATTCAGTAACTAACCTGAGAACTTGCTTTGACCCAGGTAGGTAATCATGGAAGAACTTCCATGTTCTCTTTTGCTGTCACAATGTGCCTCAAGAGGAGGCAACACACTGTGATAAGCCTCAGCTGACTGATGCCTATTGATAACAGTGGAGGGACTCACCAAGCCAAACTCATCTCTGATGCAGGCCGCCTTCTAACCCCATGGAATGGGAAGTTTATAAATCAAGGTGGAATACAGCCATAAGGCATAGGCAGAAGCTTAAAAAAAGTCCAAAATTTATGACTAACAGCTTAACTGATGATTAAAGCACCTTAGATTTAAAACCTCAGCTCCAGCACCAGAAGCAAAGTGGCAAAGGGGAATCCAGATAAGGCCTATTAAAAACACATCTGTCATCTCAGAAAACATAAATTTAACAGGAACAGTACTCTCCCCTGCTCCACCTCAGCTGGATTCTCCGGACCAGGTGTTGATGGTACTGACTTTAAATGAAAGAACTGTCTCAGCTACTGAAGAATGAGAAGATTTTAGCTGTACAGTACATGGACCTGCAGCACTGTTCATAGCAGTTGGAATGAAGTTAATGCTTTTTCATTTTACACCAGGAGGGGTCCAGGTGACACTCTCGATGAGGAGAGCAGATGGATGCAGTGGCTAGAGCCCCAGGCACTGCAAAACCAGGAACATCTTTTCAGACAGCACAGCTGAGCAGCTCCTCTCA